CCATGCACAAAAATCAACTCAAAATGGATTAAAGACTCGAACACAGACCTTTAACAATACAACTCCAAGAAGAAAACAGAGATGGTAAGCTCCTTGACATTGGTTTTGGCATTTTTTTTAATTTGAAACCAAAAACAAAGAAAATATATGCAAAATTAAGCAAAAATATGATGTAGTGAGACTACATAAAAATAAAAAGCTTCTGTATAGTAAAGGAAACCACCAACAAAATGAAAAGGCAATCTACTGAATGGGAGAAAGTGTTTGTAAAGTATATATCTGATAAAAGGTTAATATCCAAAATATATAAAGGATTCATATAACTTAATAGCAAAAAAACTCAGATTAAAAAAATGGGCAGAGGTGGGTGCCTGCCTGGCTCAGTCAATAGTGCATGCAACTCTTGATCTAGGGGTTGTGAGTCCAAGCCCCATGGTGGATGTAGAGCCCACTTTAAAAAAAAAAAAAATGGGCAGAGGAACTGAATAGACACTTTTCCAAAGACAACATATAAATGGCCAATAAGTACATGAAAAGGTGCTTAACATCACTAATCATAAGAGAAATGCAAATCAAAACCACAACGAGGTATCACCTCATACCTGCTATGGTATGTATCATCAAAAAGAATTAACAAGTGTGTTAAGAGTGTGGAGAAAAGGGAACCCTGTGTAGTATTGGTAGGAATGTAAATTGGTGCAGCCACTATGGAAAACAGTATGGAGGTGTGTAATCACATTCCTGAAGACTCTAAGCCAAAAGTGGGTGACAACCCAGCAAGACCAAAGGAATGACCCAGAAACAGTGATCGAGATCTAGGTTTATTGGGGGCACTTACATACAGGGAGCCCAGGAGTGGCCAACTGAACAAAGCATCTGCTGCTGGAAACTAAACACAGCAAACTTTTATAGTGTAGCAATTATCCTAGGAATTCTCTGTAGCTTTGCCTTTCCTTGCACAGCAAATGTTCCAATGATATCAGAACCCACCACCTGGACATTTGCATTATCAAGGTGATACTCCAAGTTGGCCAGCCCTAGAGCCCCTGACCTGGAATGCTGAACAACATGTTTTCTACATATCTTGCTTATGGGAAATAACAGAGAGAAGACGGGATCTATACATTCTCAAGATAAAGATTAACAGCAGCATTAGGGTGTGCTTGTGCAAACCAGCCCTGGCCCTTAACACACAGGAGGTTCCTCAGAAATTGAAAATAGAACCACCATATAATCCAGCAATCTCACTTCTGGGTATACATCCAAAGGAAATGAAAACAGGGTATTGAAGGGCTGTCTGCAGTCCTATGTTCATTTCAGCATTATTCACAATAGCTAAGATAGGGAAACAACCTAAGGGCCTATAAATGCATGAATGGATAAAGAAGACATGGTATATATACACAATGGAATATTACTGAGCCATGAAAAAGATGGAAATCCTGCCATTTGCAAAAACATGGATGGACCTTGAGGGCATTACATGAAGTGAAATAAGCCAGGCAAAGACAAATACTGCATGGTATATCACTTATATGATGAATATTTTTTTAAAAAGTTATAGAAACAGTAGAAAAGTGGTAACCAGTAGCTGAGGGTAGGGAAAATAGGGAAGGGTTTGTAAAAGGGTATAAACTTTCAGCTATAAGATGAGTAAGTTCTGAGAATCTAATTTAAAACATAGATGACTATCGTTGACAACACAGTAATGTATAATTGAAATTTGCTAAGGGAGAACTTAATGTTCTCACAAAAAATAAATAAAGTGATGGGCATGTTAATTAGACAGTGGGAATACATTCCCAGTTTGTATATATATCAGATAATGATGTACAATTTATTTTTTTTTAATGTCTATTTTTGAGAGAGAGAGAAAGACAGAGTGTGAGTGGGGGAGGAGCAGAGAGAAGAGGAGACACAGAATCTGAAGCAGGCTCCAGGCTCTGAGCTGTCAGCACAGAGCCTGACACGAGGCTCAAACTCATGAACTGTGAGATCATGACCTGAACCAAAGTCAGATGCTTAACCAAAAGAGCCACCCAGGCACCCCTTGATGTATACTTTAAATGTTACAATTTTAGGGGCGCCTGGGTGGCGCAGTCGGTTAAGCGTCCGGCTTCAGCCAGGTCACGATCTCGCGGTCCGTGAGTTCGAGCCCCGCGTCAGGCTCTGGGCTGATGGCTCAGAGCCTGGAGCCTGTTTCCGATTCTGTGTCTCCCTCTCTCTCTGCCCCTCCCCCGTTCGTGCTCTGTCTCTCTCTGTCCCCAAAATAAATAAAAACGTTGAAAAAAAAATTTTTAATGTTACAATTTTATATGTCAGTTTTACCTCAATGAAGCTGAAATTTTAATAATAGTTATTTCAAGTTAAAGCATTCTATTCATCACCAACAAAGCCTAAGGCAATGGTTTCAGTAAGAAATTATTTTCCCTAAAACTGTAAAGTTAGTTTTAAACATCCACTTAAATGAACAAATTATAAGTTAAACTTTAAAAAACAAATGGTTAATTATTGAGAAATAAAGAGGAAGAAGCTCTTTGAAACTTTGCATTTCAGAGACTAACCATTAAACTCAAGGCATATAAACCTTTGCTCATTCAAAGCATTTTTAACTTTGACAACAAAAATATAGCCATGAAAATTTTGCTATAGAAGAATCAAATTAAAACTGGAGATAAAAATTAAGCTCATCAAGGGGAAGACTAAGATTCTGTCCATCCAGGTTTTCAGCTTAAAATTCTTCAGAAAAAATATTCTAAAAATAAGAGCTTAGAAACCTCAAAAAAAAAAAGTCAGCAAAAAAGTAGAGAATGTTGACAGTCAAAAAACACTAAAATAAAGACAAATTAAAAATTACATAAACCTTAGTTTTGGGATTATGATGGCAGAGATGTCCTGCTGAACCAGGCCAGCAATAGCACAGCTCCTAGCATGTAGCTCCAGAATCATCAATGCTGAGTCACTGACTTTTTTTTTTTTAAGTAAAACATTAACTCCTGTGTGGTTGGACATTGTTTGGGGCTGCAAGCTTCTGAGTACACCTCATAGTTTCTCTCTGAGCTTCCGAACTTCCTAATATCCTTTAATAAATTCCTTTCTTGCTAAAACAAATTAATCAAGCAAACCAACATTAAGTCAATTAACAAAGCAACTTTTCCTCCAACCAACACATCATGTCTGAGGAAGAGGCAACTCTTTCCAACAGATGTATGGCTTATTTTTGCAATTTATACCCCCAAAGTTGTCCTTTTTAATTCATTCTAGTTAGTGCCCGTGTTGTGTCAGATGTTGTTAGTGCCAGAAGTTGCTCTATTTTTGCTGTTTATAAGACTACATTTGATAGTGCAGGAGGGGTAGAGCTCTTGACTTCAGCTTCCCTATGGCTAACTCATCAAGGGATATTTCTGTCTTTCCATCTGGGAGATCTGGGATTTCTGAAATCTGTGTTAATACGGAAGATGACTGGCCCCAAAAGACTTGGATCTCAATACACATTACACAGGCTGCTCCTAAACCCTACTCTATGTGTCTTCAAAACTTCTATCCCTTACCAAAATATTTTAAAGTGGCCCTGTGGCCCAGTTTTTAAGTATATACACAGTAACTGAGAAAATCTGGATCCAAATTCTGCCCCCATGAATACTATTTATATATTATTAGATACTTTTCCAAAGTATCCAAACCCTTTTTTCTGAGCTTCAGTTACCTCAGCTGCAAAATCAGGATAATAAAGGATCTACCCTGTAGGGCTGTTATTAACCTTAAATGGGTAGTGTTAGGGCACCTGGGTGGCTCAGTCAGTTAAGCAGCCAACTCTTGATTTCTGCTCAGGTCATTGTGTCACAATCACTGGGCATGGAGCCTGCTTAAGATTCTCTCTCCGCCTCTCCCATTTTTCACCCCCCCTCAAAAAAATTAAATGGGTAATGTTTATATAGTGTCTGGCATTTAAATATTTGATAAATGTTAACTCTCCTTTTTGAAAATAGTAAAGAAACACTAATGCATATAAATGGTAAGACCTAATTGTCATGCTTGCACTAGCTCAAGGATATCCAGAAAATGGACACTTTTCAAATTCTACAATACAGAAAAGCTATAATGGAGTGGTCACTTAGTACCACATGGACATTAAACATGATTCTTCTCCATTTAACTCTGTTACCCTTTGAATGTCCAAAGCACATTTTAAAATGTATTCTGAATATTGCAGAACTATGAGATGATGTTTCAAATATTATATATCAGGATTAAAAAAAATAAGACCTATTTTTAGTGCTATTATTTACAGGTTTTTAAGTTCTATCACAACAGAGCTAAACTCATGAGCTCTAAGTAAATAGTACTATTTGTCTGGAATAAGAATGACAATAATAATTTTTGTTCAGAATTTACCATATACTAAGAAGTGTTCTGGCATGTGACATGAATTATCGCAAAATATCCATGAAGTAGATAATATTCCCAACTTACAGAAAAAGAGATTAAAGTATGGAGGACTACAATAATTTGTATAATTTGTAAATGGTAGAATTAGGATTTGAGCCCAGGCAGTCTGGCTTAAGAGTCATTATTCTTAAGTACCATTTTCAACTGCACAGTAAGATACTTCCATTCTATATTTTAAACTCCAAGCACTTGAGTTTCTTCCAAAACTTATATAAATAGGTGCATATTTAAATTATGCAAAAGAAAGTTGAATACTATAACCTATTTTGTACTGCCATTAAAGGATAAAATACTTAATGGAGACAATAAATTTTAAACTATGTTAACAGTCAAATGTTAAAAATGAACTTATGTTTAATAAAAATCGTATGAAGTTTTTGGCTAACTACTGAAAATGTGACTAACTCTTAAAATAGTGAGGACTTAGCCATCTTTGTATGTTTTGAAAAAAATGAATTATCACTCTTCATTTATTAATCTACACATTCAGATTCCTTTATATATGAAGATTTAATTATGGTATTTATGCTGCCTTCTTCCTCCTGGTACAGATCATGTAAACGGACACTGCACAAGTCCAACCTCTCAGAGTTGCGGTTCTGGAAAACGTCTGTCTAGTGCTGATGTTTCAAAAGTAAATCGCTGGGGTCCTGGAAGACCACCATTTCGGAAAGCACAATCAGCTGCTTGCATGGAAATTTCTTTACCAGTCACAGCAGAAGGTAAGTTAAACATACAAATTTTTGTGGATACAATTAAAATTTGATATACCATAATAATGGGAGCTAGAGGGCAAGGGATATAAATTACATGTAAAAGATATTTAAAACTATAGTCAGCTCTCAGCAATGAGTAACTGAGAGATTGGTCAAATTGTGGCCATGATTCCAAATCCATTCCTCGCTACACCTCCTTCTTCATCTCTAAAAGCAGGATGGCTCTGCTTATTGGTAGACACCTTCTCTTGTACAAAGGGAGACCTATGCTTTAATTTGTTCTCAAGACCCCCAGCAACAGAGTTTCCTTCCATCTCAATGGTGAGCTTTTAGTGTCTCTATCTGTAGTTATTTAATGTCTTGCAACCCTAATTTCCTCAACTGTCAAGTGAATGTGACCAAGAAAAAGGCAAGATCTTAAGTTCTTAAGTTTGCAATCTTCATCTTCATATGTTTTTTAAACGATTAAGTGCTTATTAGTGGAATGAGTATCGGAGCAGGGATTAAAGTATAAGAGCTAGAAGGCCAGAAAGTTTTAGACAGGGAGGAAAAAAGGAATCTTCTAACTTAGTGGCTACTGTCTTGCTGACAACTTTAGGGAAAGATATGGAAAAAAAAATCTTGGGAAGATTTTCTATGGTAATTCTAGTCTATAAAGTAATTCCCCATTTACCACCCCTCAATAAATTTGATAGTAATGACCTATATTATTATTCAAAAATTTTAATTTAAAAACTATTTTAATTATTATACCATACTAAATCTGGTTCATTGACATGCAAATAATGAATTTATCTCTCTCATAGGTGTCTGTGAGTAACAACCTTGAATGTTGATACACTATGAATGAAAAAACTTTGAAAGCATTTTAGCTAGGATTTGTATAATAAAAGCAAAATGTAAAGGTTATAGAAATAGCACTCTTAATCACTGGCTTGAGAGTTGACAATTTTGACTTTCAGACATTTCTGCCTCTAATTTGTACTGGATTCTGGGGAAATTGCTTAACTCTATATCTCGGTCTCTAAATCTATAAAGTTATATAGATTATATCCAAGCTCCCTCTCATCTCTAAATTCTATTACGAATAATTATTTTTACAAACTTGCTGAGGGATATAAGGGGGAAATTAGGAATACTATATTTGTCTTTCTAGAAAAAGGATAATCTAAGGAACTTATATTTAACTCTTTTTATAAAAATGAGTCACACTTGAACCTATAAAGGAAGGAGTGAATATGTAGAAAAAAAGGAATATGAGGAACTTGTATTCCAGAGCAATTATAAGAACAAAACCTGCCTCGAATTCCTTTAACTGAGGATGAGTTTATGCTTGTTGGAGTGTGCACATGTATGAGTGTTGATGAGCAGGAAAACTTGCAACTATCCTGCTTCCTGTAGGTGGGCTGAAGCCCCCTCAGAAAGATTACCATCAACAATGAGATGGCACAGTCTATAGCTTCTGATCTGGTCCTAGGAAAAGTTACAACTGGATTTGGATTCAAGGTAGGTAACCTGAAAGTAGTTCAGGGATACGACATTTGTTCTTTGGCCTTGGTAAATACTCCAATTTTTACAACTATAGTTACTCCAAATATAGCAAAACCAAAAATTGTGTTAGTTAGGGACATGTATTCACCACAGAACATTTGTGACCTTTCAGGTAAGTAGTCATAATTTTGTCCGTAAGAGGGAATTGCCAAGAAATCATTAGGAATATTTTCAATAATTGAGATACAGAAGCATAATTAAAATGGTACCAGAAATTCTTGTAACCTTTACTACTTAGACTAAATATTTTTTCCCCAGATTAGAAAATTTCAACTAATAGAGGAGGTAATGTAGGGGAAAAAACATGGTGACCTGGAACTCTGGAGTCCCAAGTTCTGGTCCCAGCTCTGCCTAAGTTTATGATTTATACTTCTGGACTTCAGTCTCTTCATTATCAAAATAAGCTGGTGAATTGGACAAGCTGTCTTCCAGATCATTTAACAAGGAACCAAATTCTACTTCCCTCTCATAATTTTGTTTTTCATGTATGAAGTCTGACTTTACTTCTTATAGAAATACACTAACTTAATTTTTGTTCTTCTAAACATCCATAGAAAGCCGAGAGAATTCCTATAATCGTTCTAGAAGTTCAAGCATCTCCAGTATTGACAAAGATTCTAAAGAAGCAATTACAGCACTATACTTCATGGAGTCTTTTGCTCGGAAAAATGACTCTACAGTCTCCCCTTGTTTGTTTGTTGGAACTAGTCTGGGAATGGTGTTAATCATCTCCCTGAACCTACCTTCAGCAGATGAACAAAGATTTACAGAACCAGTCATGGTATTTCCAAGTGGTAAGAGTTCTTATTTTATTCCTTAATTGCTATTTTTCACATTTTGACATAAGATAATGTATAACATTAATTTGTATTGATCTGGAAGACTATAAGCATTCTGTATGTTGGAAACTATTGAGAATTTCATAAATCATATACTACCCCAACATTTGTCCTATAGCAACTTACCATTCATTAGGATAAAATAGTATAATCATTTCTATGGTAGTAAACTGTATAACTGCCCACCTAAACAATGCCTTGGGGAAAAAGTTTCTGAAAAGCACTAAGGAAAACCTTAATGCAAAAGTTAAAGTATTTAATGAAGTATTTCTCTAAAGTTCTAGGCCAGAGCAGAGCCTATATCATCCCTGACAAATTCAGAACAATTAAGCTAGAAGCACTACATAGCTTTCGAAAATCTTCAGTAAACTTTCCATCTTGTTTCAAAAGCATACCACACAATTTCTTTCCTTTTTATCCTAGCGCCTGAAGAATTTGACCTAAGTTATGAGTACTGTTGCTAAAGCATATGTTCTTCTTAAAGCAAAGTATCTTCTTCCTACTTGAATTATCTTTTTTTCTTTTCAAAGAGATGAATGTGATTCCTCACGCAATTCCTTTGAACATTTAAAATTTTGTTCTCAGTAACTTTTGCTTTGTATTTCCTATGTATGATAAGAAATGTTTTTCAGACAGTTTTTACGTAAAAAAATAAAAAAGGAATTTTATTAATATATAGGATAAGGAATTTTATTTTAAAAGAATACATATATATCGTATGCCAGGTTAGAGAGAGTTTTGTTTTCTTTTTCAACGTTTATTTATTTTTGGGACAGAGACAGAGCATGAACGGGGGAGGGGCAGAGAGAGAGGGAGACACAGAACCGGAAACAGGCTCCAGGCTCTGAGCCATCAGCCCAGAGCCTGACGCGGGGCTCGAGCTCACGGACCGCGAGATCGTGACCTGGCTGAAGTCGGACGCTTAACCGACTGCGCCACCCAGGCGCCCCAGAGTTTTGTTTTCTTAACTGGTGTACTAAATTCTTATAGATATTTACTTAATGTAGGTGGAATAGTCAGCTCTCTCCTAGTGTGGCAAATTTAGATAAACGTATTTATGTGTATGTGTATGTGTTAAATAACAGAAGTTGATCTTCTCACACTTCTGGAGACTAGAGGGCCAAGATTAAGGAGTCAACAGATTTGGTTTCTTCTGAGGCCTCTCTCCTTGGCTTGCAGATCACCAAAGGTGCCATGTGTTCACATGGCTGTCCTTCAGTGTGCATGTACCCCTAGTGTCTCCCTGTGTATGCTAACTTTTTCTTAGACAGACACCAGTTTGGATTAGGGGCCACCCTAACAACTTCCTCTTAATCGCTTCTTTAAAGGTTGTACCTTCTGAGGTACTGGGTTCTAGGCCTTCAACACATGAATTTGGTGGAGACACAATTCAGCCCATAAAATGCATTGTATTTTAAAAGTTAATCTGCTAGGATCACTGTATTTTAATTGTAAACATATTTCACGATGAGAAAACATCTTTTACTACATTCCTTATTTTAAGGAAATATGCACAATTCTCTTATATTGGTTGAGTTAAAGCCAGATTAGTGAGGTCATAATGAATTATTAAACATTAATTCAATCCACTATTTAACTCAATAAATCGTTATACATATTGGACACCTAATATGTGCCAGGCATTCCTCACAAGTTTAAAGGTGAAAATTTATCTCTTGTGTACAAAAGTTTACAACCATAAGTGAAAGACAGTTTTTTAAGAGATATTCTAAAAAATGTGGTTTTCTATTTAACAAGCTTAGAAATAAACATTCTCTGGAACTGACTTAACAGATCTCTCAATATTGTAGGGAAGTCCTTTAGCATTTTTAGCAAACAGACATAGACTAAAAATGATGGCAAATTACAAAATAAGTATAGATTTAACTTAATAATGTGGTATCTAGTTAGTAAGTAGTTGCAAAGCTTTTCCTCATCTAGTTAAAGATATATAATGGGAACCTGTCTTCTCCAATTTTCTATGTCATTATTCTCCTGTTCCTTCCAGACTTTAGTTAATATCAATACCAGCTCACCAATTGTAACAAATGTACCACATTAATACAAGATGTTAATAAAGGACAAAGGGGTCATATGGGAGCTCTCTGTACTACTTGCTCAATTTTCTGTAAACCTACAAGTGCTCTAAAAAAAGTATTTTTTTAAAAAAGAGGTATACAATAGAGAAAACTATGAAGCTGGTTTCCAATGTGTTTTACAAATAACCATGGAAAAGAGAGAAAGCCTAATTAAAAGATCATAAGAGACTACTATGAACAACTATATGCAAATAAACCAGACAACCTAAAAGAAGTGGATAAATTCCTGGAAACATATAACATACCAAGACTGAATCATAAAAAAATTAAAAGTCTGAACAGATCTATAACTACTAAGGAGATTGAATCAGTAATCAAAAACCTCTCAATAAAGAAAAGCCAACTCTTTTTTTAAGGAATCTTTTCACTTTAATTTACTGTGGTTGTCTTGACAGCAAATTCTATTCAATGATATGGAAATTTGAACTGTACTCAATCATTGAATTTTAGAGTGGAAAAGCACCTTAAGGTTATCCATTCCCTGTAGTTATGCCTTAGTCTGTATCAGAATCACTTGGAGGGTTTGTTACAACACCGATTATTGGTCCCCACCCTCAGAGTTTCTAATTAAACAGGTCCGGGGTGGGGTCCGAGGATTTGCATTTTTAACAAGCTTCCAGGTGATGCTGATTCTACAAATGCCACTTTACATAGGCTAGGATGGAAAAATCTACAATTCTTTACTCCTGTGCAGGGAAAAACACAGTGCTTCCTCCTTCTGTGTGTTTCTTCTGTGTGCCTCTTTCAAACTGCTTCCACACTCACAACACTTCTGACACCACATGTGGAGAGGTTTTTCCCCATAAGAAGCAGGTCTTTGCAACACCAGCTGGGTGTCCCACAGTTTAACTCAATTCTGACACTATCTGGAGATAATTGTCAGATTCCACAGGTTAAGAACTCATTCCCACAAAACTGCTCCCTCTCCTTCCTTTAGATGTCAATCACCAGTCTAGTTTGTCACCTGTGCTTCTGACACATTGGCTATAAATCTGATGTTCCCACAACCCCCTCTTTGGGTTCAATTAATTTGTTAGAGTGGCTTACAGAACTCAGGAAAACTGTTTACTTACCATTTACCAGTTTATTATGAAAGGATACAGATGAACATCCACGTGGAAGAGATGCGTGGGTAAGGTATGTGGAAAAGAACACAGAGTTTCCATACCCTCTCCAGGAGCGTCAGTCTCCCTGCACTAACACCTGTTCACAAACCCGGAAGCTCTTCAAAGCCCTTCCTTTTGGGTTTTTATGGAGGCTTCATTACTTAGGCATGATTGACTAAATCATTGATCATTGGTTGAATTCAATCTCCAGGCCCCTCCTCTCCGGAGATTGGGAAGGGATGGGACTAAAGGTACCAACCCTCTAAACACAGCTGGTTCCTCTGGCAACCAGCCCCTATCCTTGGGTAAGATCCAAAAGTCACCTCATTAACATAATAAAAGACACCTGTGTTTTTCTCCTCCTTGAGGAAATTCCAAAGGTTTTAGCAGCTCAGTGCCAGATACAGAATAAAGACCAAAATAAATGTTTATTATAAATCACAATATCACACATGCAAATTCAGCTTAATTACAATCCTGGTTAAATTTATTTCTCCCTGCTTATTTATATGCCTGTGCAGCTGAACATGGCTGGAGAAAAACATAACCACAATAAATAGTCTCATTTTGAAATAAATCACCAATAACTTCAAGTAGGTTCCTATGCTGCTGGGTAATATCCTCTCTCCCACACTCTCAATCATATATTTTCTCCACTCTCCTCAAACCTCAAATACCTCCTCCACTATTTTCAATGTCAGCTAATGACCATGTGTCCTCTTTTACTGAGAAAATTGAAACAAGCAGATAACTTCAAACACCACATCTACCAACCTGTCTGCTTATATCTCCATGGTCTCTGTATTCTCTCCTGTTATTATGACTAAACTGTGTAAGCTCCCAACTTGGCCAACTTCTCTATTTGTATACTCAAAGTCAATCCAGCAACTTTTCCTGTTTCCTTTATACCTAATTGTGTAATTATAGTTATAATAAATACTTATCTTTCTGCTAGATCAGCAAATAAACATGCTGTTCTTTCTCCCATTAAAGGAGAAAAACTTGGGGTGCTTGGCTGGCTCAGTCGGTACAGCATAAAACTCTTGATCTTGGGGTCGTGAGTTTGAGCCCCACAGTGGGTGTAGAGATTACTTAAAATCTAAAAGTAAATGAGTAAATAAAAGAGAGACACTCTGTCTTGAATCTGTCCCTCTATAATGCTCCATTTCATTTCTTTTTCTTTAATGCAAAATCTTTGAAATGTTTTTGTTATATTCACGATTTCCAATTTTATTCTTTCATTCTCTCTAGGCTCCATTCTAAACAAGCTTTCTCCCATACCAATCAATAAAAACCTTTGTCTGGTCACCACTGACCTCATGGCTCAATCCAATGGTCAGTTGTCAGGCCATGTATTACTTGACATATCAGCAACATATTACCAAGTTGACCGTTGTCCCTACCTTAAAAACACTTCACTTGGATTCCAGAACAGTATATTTGCCTACTTTTCCTCCTACCTTTGTAGCCATTCCTTCTCAGTCCACTTTACTGGTTCCTCCTCATTTCACTAGACTTAAAACATAAGAATGCCCAAAGACGGACTCAAACCTTTTCTGTTTTCTATTTACATTCGAGGACAAAATGACTTTAAACCTGCCTCATGACTTTAAATGCCATTGAAAATCTAATGGGTTATATATTTTTTATTTATAGTCTGGAATTGTCTCCAAATTTCTGACATAGATATCCAGTTACTTGACATCCACTTGGATTAATCGTCTCAAACTTACCATGTCCAAAATCGAGTTCCTGGTTTCCTTTCCTTTCTCCCATATTCATTACCACATCTGTTCATGACAATTCCATCCTTCCAATTTCTCTCGTCAGTAACATTAGAATCATCCTGGACCACTGTTTCTTTCACACTCTGAATCTAATTTATTAGCAAATTCTGTTGGCTTGACTTTTATAGTATCCTCAGATTCTGACCATTGCTTACCACTTCTATTGTTACCACCTGATTGGAAGAAACTTTTATCCTTTCCTTGCCTTGATTTATTGTAGTAACCTCTTAACTGTTCTCCCTTTGGAATATGGCCAGCAGAAAGAGTGATCATCTTAAATGAAAATTAGATTACATCACTCTATTCTCAGAATCTTCCTTATACCAGGTAAAAGTCTGAGTCTTTACTGTGTTCTACAAGACCCTTTATAACTGGATCCATCTCTGATCTCTCTGATCTCATCATCTCTAAGTCTGCCCTTTGCTGCTCTAGAAAGTCAAGATCTGAAAAGAGTTTGAGATTTTACTTTATTTGCAAGCTAATAAAGTTAGGTTTCCAGTTTTATGAATGTTGATAGAAGATAACAGACTCCTGGTTCAGAGATGAAAGATAATCAGATATCTGACCAGTAGTCAGTATATCAGCATTTTGTGCTGGTTTCCTGAGTCCTGATTCTCACAGTATGAAGCAAAGAAGCCTTCTCTTCTATATTAGTCTGCTCAAGACACCATAACAAAATACCACAGAGAGGGTGGCTTAAATAACAGAAATTTATTTTCTCACACTTCTGCAGACTGAAAATCCCAAACCAGTGTCCCAGCAGTGTTGGTATCTGGTGAGAGCTCTCTCTTTGAGTTGTAGACAGCTGCCTGTACACTGTGTTCTCATAGTGTTTCTTCTGTGTCCAGAAAGAGTGAACAAACACTGGTGTCTCTTGTTTTAAGGACACTAATTCTATCAGATCATGGCCCTACCCTATGGCCTCATTTAACCTTAGAGGCCCCATCTCCAAGTACATCCACACTGGGGGTTAAGTCTTCAACCTAAGAATTTGAGAGAGGGGAGAGGTAGAAACATTTAATCTGTAACACCTTCTACTCTATTAAAATGTAATCATACCTTTTCCCTAGAGTTCTTATCTCCTTTCCTGCTTTATTTTTTTCCTTAGTATTTATCAGTGTCTAATATCTCAAATATATATACTTAGACCATATATGGTCTATCTCTATCATCTAAAATAAACTCTAGGAAAGTAGAGATTTATCTCTGTTTTATTCACTATTATATTCCCTAAAACAGAACCTAGAACACATAGTAAGTCCTCAATAAATATAAGTGAAGGTTGTAGTAGGGTAGGCTGCCATTGTGGAAAGCTGGAGTAAGGTATACTTCCAGCCAGTGAGACCTCCTTCAAGAGGAAAGTCCTAATTACTTGTGTGGTAAATTATTTACCATAGACTGAACTGTGAAGATCTTATTATACAGGACCTTAAATTTAAGCTTACTTTGCAATGAAGTGTATTTCTGAAATAGTAGTGGCTTACAATTTGGACTTTAAGTTTTTTTTTTTTTTTAAGTTAGGAAAGATTAATGGCAAGTCATAAAGATTAATAATACATATTTGAAAAAACTTAAACCCTGTATAAACCTAATGGACAGAATATAATCAAAGCATTTTTTTTATCACAAATTAGGAGACAAAGCAGCTGTTTTGGCAAGGGCAGATTATTGAGAAATTGTCATTTTGATGCTGACAGTTTGTAAGCATCAGGTATAAGTAAAATGGCTTCCAAAATGTAGATTTCTTATCTTTTTAACCTACCTTAGGGTATCTCTAAATTGAGGGTGCTAAGATATTTATAATTAGAAGAGTTATCCCATGACAGGTAATTAAGGAAATGTGGCTTTATAGAAGAATGAATCCTAGATGAATTCTAATTAAATCACTTGTCATAGCTTTGGAAATCCCCCCCGCCCCCCCCCCACTTCCGGAACACTGGGAGAGCTGTTCTTTTATTCCTTGATGAAGTGCCCAAACCCTGCTCTCCTAACTTCTTCAGTTCCCTTGTAGGACATTTGCAAAATTCTTCTTTTTAAAGTGGATTTTAAAACACAACTGGGATGTTAAATCATCTAAATACGTTATTTTAAATTTGATTAAGCACTTTAAGTTATAAAGTACTTTAAATGGAATGTATATTTATTATCCTTCCTTTTACAAGTGTCTGTCATATGTACACTTTTGAGGCAATATTAGCCTAGGTTAATCCCCTTACTCTCTCTACATGATGTCAGAGGACAAAGGAAAAAAAAGGCTCTTGGGCATTGCTTACAGGAGTCTGGTAATGTCCCAAAGTCAATCTGTCACAAGTTGCCTCCCAAGTTTTATAATATCCTGTTTATAATATCCTGGACTGGTAAAAATAGCCCATAGGTAATAATTTGGCATGGATATTCAAACTTGGAGAATCCAGGTGAGTAAACTTCTTTTCTATATAAACATGCATAAGCCTGCATAAGAGCCAAAGGAAGTTTTTTTTTTTTCTAATACAATCAAAATTGCTAGCATGAACTCTATATGTCAAAATTTCATGAAATTTATTCCAGGTGTTCAATTTCAGAAGAAGAAACCGTTTTCTAGTAAATGAGCCTAAGAAATAAGGAAATAGAATCAGATGGCATGATTTTTTTCAGTTGGAGTTATTTCAATAAATGAAAATTATAAATGTTCTAAAATTTGCTTTTAAAAAAAGGATTTTAAGGGAGACTATATAGTATAGCAAAAGAATACTGGATTAGAAATTAGGAAATGTGAATTCTAGTCCAGGCTCAACAACCAACCTGCCATCTGACATGGCCCAAATCTGGGCCTCCATCTTCTCATTAATAAAATGAAAGGATTTGGGTGCTTGGCTGGCTCAGTTGGTAGGGTGTATGTGACTCTTGATCTTGGTAAGTTTGAGCCTTACATTGGGTGTAGAGACTACTTAAAAATAAAATCTTAAAAGTAAATAAATAATAAAATGCAAGGATTTGACAAGTTGATGTCTTAGGCCCCTTTTAGATCTAACATTCTATGTTTCCAAGTTATTGCAACTGATGAACTCGCAAATCTACTGATTTATGTATATTACTGCAATATTGTGGCACTATAAATTATAAATAATTATAATATAAAGCATTTATTGCCTGTGAATAACAGCTGTTTTAGAAAGAATTTCACATGCCAGTGATATGAAATTGTTTTTATAGGTACATTCCTCTCACTGAAAGGAGCTGTGCTAACATTCTCCTGTATGGACCGAACTGGTGGATTAATGCAACCGCCATATGAAGTTTGGAGGGATCCAAACAACATAGATGAAAATGAAAAATCTTGGAGAAGGAAACTGATCATGAGCTACCCCTCTCCATCCCAAGAAACAGGAGATCATCAGTATACAGTAATCTGCTCAGAAAAACAAGCCAAAGTCTTCTCACTGCCTTCTCAGACTTGTCTTTATGTTCATAACATCACGGAGACATCTTTTATACTGCAAGCAGACGTGGTGGTCATGTGTAACAGTGCCTGCTTGGCATGCTTTTGTGCCAATGGGCATATCATGATAATGAGGTACTTGCCTTCTTTATAAATTGTCTGGTAATCACAACAGTGTGAATAAGGTACAATTTTGAAAAGTATATGTGTAATGTGCAATCAAGAAGCAAACTGAGATCATTCTTTCATTATGTTTGTGAATGTTTTATTGTTTGACAATTTGAAGAAACTCTGTTTTTTTTTTAATTTTTTTTGTTAAAAATGCTTTGCATTCTGAATGAAATACATATATTTTAATTGATTTCAAGGAATCTAAGGAAAGACTGATTTTTCTGGTCATTCACACAATTCAAGCATTTATTGAACATATGTACCTCCCATATACTATGCTAGTCATGTAATATAAAAATGAATAAGCTATAAGGAAAAGAAATTAACTTACTTTTACTATGTTCTATAGTCCACATAAGTATTTTACATACAGAATTTAATTTGATCCTTATGGTTTCTGTAGAACATAGGAAAACAAAGTATTATTTGCATCCTCCATTTTACATATGTTAATAAATTAAAGTTTAAATCACCTCAGGTTATAAGTCTAGGAAAAAGTGAGACCAGCACTGAACAGTATACTAAAAGTCATCACTACAACTGAAATATAACACTGTATAAGTTTAAGGTATACAGCACAATGATTATACACACACACACACACACACACACAATATATATATAACAGTAATTTCACTCTATGTGTGTGTATGTGTGTGTGTATATATATATATATATATATACACATATATATATGACTACCACAATAACAGTTAACACATCCATCACTTCACATAGTTACATTTGTGTGTGTGTGTGTGGTGAGAAGTTTAAGATCTAATCTTCTAGCAATCAAGTATACAATACAGTATTGTTAACTATGAGTCACCATGCTGTACATTAGACCCCCAGAAGGTATTAATCTTGTAACTGTAAGTTTATGCCCTTTGACAACCTTAATAATGTGCTATCAGCTGAGAGATTTCATTATACTGTTAGTAAACTAGAATAAAATTCATGAGACACAAAATTAATTACCTAGTTATTTTATGAATTCAACAAACGTTTAATAAATATAACCTATGTAGAAGTCACTGTCATTCATTTTAATACATCACCTGGTTCTAAAAATCATTGAGACAGTTAAGCATTATACTAGGCCTATGAAAGATATAAAAATTAGTAAAAACATAGTCCTAATCCTTAAAAAGCTTACTATCAAATTGGGGAGATAAGACAGATACACAAATAATAACACAATGAACATGTATATTCCAACAGAGGAAATATAGGATTGAATCTTCTAGTCACAAACTAAGTTCTCAGAATCAAAGTCACGCGATAGTTGGTATATGTTATTAAATACAAGATGTTGGGAGGAAAGTAAACTGGAGAGAAAGATTGGGGTAAATTATTGAGGACCTGTAATGGCAGGCTAATGAGTTTGATATTAATCAGTTAATAGGAAACACTGTTTTTAAAGCTGAATTTAACTTTCTCTAGCTATACATCGGGAAATACATATAAAGGAAGAGCTTGAAATGGTCTTCTGAACTAAAGTTTTAGCTATCTCGAAAGCAAGGTGGAAACAGATGTGAGGGATAATTGAGGAAAACTTGCTAAATATAAAACTGATTGTGAAAGGTAATGGAGGCCATTAAATCACAGGATTAGAAGAGAATTTAACTGAAAATATTTAATGAACCTGGGTAGCAGCGACGTCATTAAAACAGGAAATAAGAGAATTTGGAAAAGCTGAAAATGAGAAATTTGAGAATGAATTCTTGGAATATGAGGTGTTTTTAAGTGATCCCACAGAAGTTTGGCAAGCAATTTTAGGTTTGGACTGTTAGAAAAATATGGAAGATCCAGCTCTGTTAGTCATCTATATAAATGCATTAGTGAAAGTTACAGCAGTGAATGAGATCATCAAAGAAGATAGTATAAAAAGAACGGAGAAATAGACTGATCTGGGTACAAAAACTTGGGGATATCTCTATATTTATGTAGTAAAATAAAAACAAAATCCAGCAGAGGATATTGAGAAGAAGTCATCAGAGATATAGGAAAAGGAGAAGAATAACTTCGTGAAATAAAAAGGATAGAAGAGTATCCAAACAAAAATAGAAGACCACCAAGAAAACGTCAAGAGGTAGTCAGATATAGCAGAGAGGCCAAAGAATTTGAGTAGAAGAAAAAACACTAGGTCTGGCCTGGCAACTAGTAGGGTATCAGTGATCCTTGCAAAACAAATCTTAGAAGCATAGTGGAGGCAAAAACAAAATTTTCAATGGAGAAAGAGACAGTGGTATAGATCAAAAGTTGACAAACTACAGCCAACAGGCCATATCTATCCTGCCCTTCCTGTAATCTGATATTGTACAGCTGGCAAGCTAAGAATGGATTTTACATTTTAAAATGTTGAAAAAAATCAAAGAGAATATTTCATAATATGTGAAAATTACATGAAATTAAAATTTCAATGTTCATAAATAGTTTTTGGAACACAGCCACACCCATTTGTTTACATATTGTCTAGCTGCTTTTGCATGACAAGGCAGAGTTGAGTAGTTAGACTATATGGCCTACAAAGCCTACAATATTTACTATCTGGCTCTTTAATAAATGTTTGCCAACCCCTGGTATAGATTATTTTTTCAGGAAACTTTGTGGTAAAAAGATAGATGAGGGACAGGAAAGTAGTTCAAGAGCAAAACTTGGCTTTCGAGAGTGTTTTCATTGTTAGATTTTCTTTAATAGAGGAGACATGTAAGCCAAGGAAAAGTAGCTACATAAAGTTTAAAAAAAATAAAAAAAATCATTTACTGTCTACTCATTCTCTTAGATATTTCTGGTTCTGTCTCTGTTTCTCTGTTTCTGTTTCTCTTTCTCAAACTATTTTTCAGTATTTGTCATGAAAATCATTCCAGTCCTGTTTGAAAATTAGGACTTAACTCCTAGACATGCCTTAGTTTTGAGGGAAAAAAAAAAAATGTGTATCACACATACCCTCTCCTCCCCAAGCTCACATTTAGTCACTCAAAATTTTTCTTTTAAGTTAAAAGACGTTAAACTGTTGTCACAATTGAAATTTTTAGTTTGATAGTGATTACTTACCTTGTTTTTGCAAAATTTTAGTGAGTCTCGTTTTCTCAAATGATACTGAGTATATCTGAAAATTAATTTCCATTTACATAAATATGTGCTGCCATCTACATTTATCAGGAGGGAAATGGCTTGAAAAATGAAAAATAGAGAGTTTAAAAAACAGCAGGAGTCATGGCAACAGGAGAATTAAGATACTATCTCTGTCTTCCTCTGCTCTATGTAAAAACTGCTTTACATGGTAATGGCTACTTTAATATTAATTATGTCCTAGTGGAAAATCTTCATGTGTTCTTGAGGATCTCAAAAATATTTGGAAGGAAATTACCTTGGGATGATTTTAGTAATATATATAATATGTAGCTTGAAGAACTGAATCCTTCAAATTGGCATGCTCCTGACTTTGATCATCTTCCCATGCTAAGTATTTTCCTAGATATTTCCAGATCCTATCAGAAATTAACTCTACTGAGTCCATTCTTCTCAAGACCTAGTTTTCTGATAGTTGGCAGGTAGCTGATTGCTTACATGCTAATGTACCCAAACCTAGAAAGTAGTAGACAGGGATACAAGAGTCGTATCTATAAATGTGTTCTCAAACTGGGCTTTTAGTGAAAACCATTGTTAGTTACGTGATACTATTTCCTTATAAAGTGTCCCTGCACAGAAAAAAATCTATTTTTTCAACTTTAAAAGCACTTGGTTCCTGGTTCTTAGCAAGTAAATTACTTTTTGCCATTTCCAACCTGAAGTAATTAAACCATTTTTGTTTTCTTCGCTTACTTTTATTATGCTACATAAACAATGTAGCTTATCAGAAAAGTCCATTGGAATCCCTTCCCCACCGCCACCCATTAATTTGACAGAATCTAGCATGGAAGTCTGTTTAACCAGGTTTGTTTTGGCTCACAGCCTAAAGACCTCAATTACTTGAAATGTCATAACATATTAAGTCTTTGAAATCCAGTACATATTTTACACTTACAGAATACCTCAGTTCATGCAAACCACATATCAACTGCTCAATAACCATATGTAGCTACTGGCTACCATATCGGACAACATAGTGCCAGAACCTCATGGAAAGCTTTTTCCAACTGTGCACATTTCAGATCCCATTCTATATTGTAAAGTTCTAGGGCTTAACTTGTAATAACAAACTACTTTCATAAGAGAAATAAGTAGGTTTTTTTCAAGGTACTGGTTTTATGATCTGGGATAATTTAAAATCATCCTGCACACCAGAATCAGTTGAACAATTTGAAAGCTGGAGATTTAATGACAAGTCTCTTTTTATCCTTTTGGTATTAGAGGTGTGATTTAAAAGCAATGAGACCAGTTTCTTCAGTAGTTTGCAAAACTGGCTCTTGTGGCCATATCCAAAGGGACATTCTGATGAATATTTAAGCAAAATTTTGGGCTACCACATAAGGATAAGATTATAGCTATTTGGTAAGACACTGGAGATGAGTGGTATTCATTTAGATATGCCTAATTCTGATCTATTATTAATACTTATTCTCATTCCCGTACAGCCCTAACCATGTTTATTTACTAAGCATGCCTTCAGCGCAGATGTCCTAAGTCATAGGTAATTTTTATTTCCTGTGTGTAGAGGGAGTAGAGGAATGGGGAGCAAAGCCACTCCATGGCCAGGCACAGTGAACTGGATCCATTCCATGTCTTCATCAGTGCATAACCTCCTCAGACTCAGGAGTTTTGCCTTAAAAGGAGACAGTAGACCAAGTACTTTCTAGTGGTGATGTTTCTCCCATAACCAAAGACTGCAACCTTTGGTTGCAGGAACCTGTGAAATGCTGCAGAGTGTATTCTGAAATTGCTGGCCACTACATTTAATCCACCCTTCAAACATATTTGCTAAGTATCTGTGTGGATTAAGAGAAGGAACCAGGCCCATAATTTTTTGTGTGTATATAATTTTATGTCAAAGTCTTAGTTTTTTTACCAGAGACTTCAAGAGAATAAAAAGAAACAAACATTAAATAGTGGTATAAAAATAAATGTTTTTATGTAAGGAACTGTACATTTTACACAGAGAAATGAAAGCTTCTAACAAAGTGAATATGAAATGTGGATTTGCTTTTTTCCATTCAGCCTACCTAGTCTTCGCCCAATGTTGGATGTTAATTATTTGCCACTGACAGACATGAGGATAGCACGGACATTTTGTTTTACCAATGAAGGCCAAGCGTTATACCTCGTCTCTCCTACTGAAATTCAGCGGTTAACATACAGCCAAGAGATGTGTGATAATCTACAGGTAGGTCAGGCACATTTATGAATACACATTGGATATGGTTGTAAAAAGAGAATGAGAGAGATATCTAATAGCTAAATATTATTGGGGCAGGCAATAAATATGCCTTCCCTAGAAGTTTTGAATATATGTTCATCATTGTGACCCTGTCAAGTTTAGTGTGGGTGTAGTTATACACAGAAAAAAAAAAAAAAAGAAAGAAAGAAAGAGGGGGACTGATGGGGAATATGCAAAGATCATACATATTAATGGCTGAGTTTTTGTTTGGTCATTTTATTGTTTTTTGTTTTTTGTTTTTTTTTCTATGGAGAATCCCCTGTAAGATTATAAACTCTCCCTCCAAGGTGGGGACTATGCACGTGCACGCAAAAATCTTGCATACAATTCAGGGAGTTCATGGACTTTTTAAAAAAAGAAGTCTAAATTTTAAGAGCCATACAAAATAAATACATATCCTGTGGGTTAGTATTGGGCATTTGTGTTTTATCATAGCAGTGAGCAGAGCTTTGAAACAAAATAAATATAAAAGCTTATCAAAACCTTAGATAACCTAAAAGTGGTTACAAAAGAGCATCTTAGAGATTTAATTGGTTCAACCCCTTTATTTTACAAAACAGAAAACTAAAACCCATCCATTTTAATAGAGAGGTTGAAAGTATAAGCTCTGAACTATTTAAGTTGTATTTTGCCCACTTGTATAACTTTGGGAATTTTGCTTAACCGACCTGTATGCTCTGCCTTGGAACACTGTCATGAGAATTAAGTCAAGAACTGAGCCCAGTGCCTGGAATATAGTATGTTTTAAAAATAAATAATAATGTTCCTATTATTGTTATTCAGCAATTGCTTGTTGAGTGGTTACCATATGCCTGGTACTTGGCTAGGTTCTAGTTAAGATACAAGTCTCTACCTGCTAGTGTGGAGGAAGATAAGTCAACAGACAAGCACCGCACTCTGTCTGACAGAAAAAGACTGTCTATATGTGGCTGTGCCAGAGCTGAGGAGACATGGAACAGGGGCCCCTGGGTTATGGGATAGCAGGGAGGGCTAATTAGAACAAGGTTGTAAAGGATGAATAAGAGTCATCTATAGGGATGGGTGGCTGGGAATGGAAAAGGATATGATATTCTCGGCAGAGTAGTGTCATGCAAAAATTCCAGAGGTTCAGGAAACTGCCAATAAACTGCAGAGTTAGACAGTGAAAAGGGTGGAGGGATAGTACTGGGGAATTATTCAAAAGTAGATCTTGGAGCACCCTGTAAGCTCCTTAAGGAATCTGGCATTTATCCCAAGGGGAACAGGAAGTCATGGAAAAGGTTTAGCAAATTTGTTTATTAAAACTAATATTCTGGTTACATATAGTTTTGAAGAATTTGAGAGAACAATTAGGAGGTGTTTTTTTTTTTTTTTTAATAATTAAGGCCAAAAATAACAGTGGCTTAAAATAAGGGAGCTAGCAGTGAGAATGGAGAGAATTAGCAGATTTAATAGTAAGAGTGTAATCAGTTGGATTGGAAGGTTATTAGATATAGCAGTGAGGGAAAGGAAGGGATTAATAATTATCCCTGGGTTTCTGGCTAAGTAAATGGTGCTGCCACTTCCAAAGAGAAGGGATCCAGGAGGAAGAGTGCAGGTCTGGTGAGAAGAGGTGAGAGAGAGTCACGCTGCAGGTTCATGGACAACTGATATTAGGTCACACATCTCTTGACTTTTGGTTGAAGTTCCTTCCTCCATACCAATGATTCTCAAATTTTGGTCTGCTTCAGAAAGACCTGAAGAGCACACTAAAAATATAGATAACCAAAGAACATTTATGTAGGTTCTGATTTAATATGTATGAAATGAAGCGCAAGCACCTGTATTTCTAACAAGGTATTTCTCCAGTCATTCTAAAGCACATCAGATATTGAAAACAACTGTGTCTCACTATGCTGCCTATTTTGACTCATTTATCTTGAATCATTTCCTAATTTTGTACTTCATATAAAAATAAATCCAAACTTCCTCCACATACTCCCAAAGGCTTCCTACTTCATAGGTTAGTCCATGCTTAGTTCAGGAAGGGGGTTCAGACAGGAAAGAGGCTATAGTAATTGAAAAAGGAAAAGCAGTCCAGATTGTGAGTCACTGATCAGGTGGAGATTAATCCTAGGGTAAATATATTGCTTCTCATGCTTTCTAACTAACTGTAAAGGGGAGAAGAGAAGAGGACATAAAAATGAAAATTTAAAGATGTCAATTACAGGAGAAGGGAAGGAAAAGGAGGTGGAGAAAGAAATGCCAGAGAGAAAACTGGGAGGAAAGCAAAAATCACCAGGAAAATATATGGAAAGCAGATTGTCTTTTCATTATGTGCTTTAACATTCCACAATGTTTTATTATTATTATTATTATTATTATTAATTTATTTTTAGTTACTCTAATGATTTTTTGTTTGAATTTGATGCAGGACATGCTAGGAGATTTGTTTATTCCCATAGAGACACCAGAAGCTCAAAATAGAGGCTTTCTCAAGGGACTCTTTGGTGGAAGTGGACAGACATTTGACAGAGAAGAGCTCTGTGAGTAAACTCCTGATTATGAAGCTGTATCACAAAATAGAAGACCTGTTTCTGTGTGTGTGTGTGTGTGTGTGTGTGTGTGTGTGTGTGTAACTTAATATAATATGTGATCTCAAATTCTAGACTAGGGTTTTTTGCTTCTGTATCTTGAAAATTATTTTTTACCAAATATGAATAAAATCGGTTACTTAATATTAGGAAATAGTTTAATAAAAATACTGCATGCAATTCATACAAATAATTAGTAAGCTAATAAATATGTCATTTGCAAGTAGATCATATGCACGAGGCAGGTGAAGATACTCAGTTACTGAATTCTGGAAAAAATGTTTATGGATCTGCTACCTTGAAACCACTGCTGGGAAACAGATTCTTTATCCAGAACACAAGGCTTATCAATGCTACAGAATAAATTACTTTAAAATTCTTCCAGTGAAACTCTGACAAACAATAATTGAAAAGGAGTAGAAAGATACTAGGGAACATTTTCAGAAAGAAAAATGTGTTTTCCAGAATATCTCACCACTATTTAGTCTTGCAGATCAAAACTCCTTTTCTCTTGAACTTTTAACCAAGCAGAAGATCTAGATGCCTCCATATGATGGAATATTTTTCAGCCATAAAAACAAATGAAGTTTGATACATGATACAACATGAATGATACTTGAAAACACCATGTTAAGTTAAAGAAGGAAGACAAAAAAGACCACGTATTATATGATTCCACTTACATGAAATGTCCAGAATAGGCAAATCCATACAGACATAAAGCATATAGTTGTTGCCAGGCACTGGGACAAGGACGGATCAGGGAGTGACTGCTAATGGGCACAGAGTTTAAACTTTTTGGAGTAATGAAAATGTACTAAAATTAGATAGTAGTGGTAGCTGCATGACTCTGTCAGTACACTGAAAACCACTGAACTGTGGTATATAACGTATGTGAATTGTGTCTCAGTAAGTCTCTTATTAAAAAAAAAAAAATAGATCTTAATTCCATGCCTAATGTTACATCCTTGAGAATGCTCACCAAATTTCTACCAAGATAGCTGTCTTTCAATAAAAAACTTCCTTAAAATTCATTCAAATTAAACTGAACTTTGTAAATGGTAGAGAAACTATTATCCTTTTATAAAGGAACAGAATTTCAACATATGTATGCTCGTGTCCATCAGGCATAGTCCCTGTTCTCTAGTATTTTACTTCCCCCCAACACACAATTTAAAACAGTAACAACTGAGGCCTACAGAGGATGACAGCAAGATGAGCAGAGATGGTAGGAATGAAGACTTGGGCAGAAGTTTAAACAAATGAACTGGCCTAAGATTGGAACTATCCTAATATGGGTTAAATATGAAATCGCCTATATTGTGAGCAACTGATTCAGCAATGTCAAGAAGGGCAGTGATGCCATATTGCATGGAACCCGCATACACACATACACATACACACGAAGACAGGCAGTAACAACACAGTTACCTCGCAGTCTCAATCTCTTTCATAGGTGGGTAAATGCTAACATCTCCAAATACACGTCTGTGATAGAACCAAGTATACCTCTCTCTATATGAGAATTATGATGATAGAATTTAATGTAAGTACTTTGGTGATAAGCTTGATTATAATTATTTGAATTACTGACAATGTGTTTTTAATTGCTATGGCTTGAACTCCCAGTTGGGGAAGCTTCAGCAGGAAAAGCATCGCGCAGCCTTGCACAACACATTCCTGGCCCAGGTGGTATAGAAGGGATGAAAGGTGCGGCCGGAGGGGTGATGGGAGAGCTGACTCGAGCCCGGATCGCACTTGATGAGAGAGGACAGAGGCTAGGAGAGCTGGAGGAGAAAACTGCAGGCATGATGACCAGTGCGGAAGCATTTTCCAAACATGCACATGAGGTAAACTGCTTAATATAGGCATCTTTACACAGCAATAGCTTTAAACATTCAGGTCCCCCACGAGAAAACCCAAACAGAGATGCCACCGTAAGTAATCCTGTGTGAGAGCCAAGGTAGCTTGAATCTCATTATAAGTATTGTAATTCCCCCAGTATTTGGAAGAAAAATGTTTTTAAGTACTATAGTAATACTGCTTTACCTTAGGAGATAATTTAAAAGAAAATTATTCATTGGCTCTGATACATCGTATCTGTATTGTGCACCTGCTACTAGAAAGGTGCTTAGGTACATTACATGATTCCCTCTCAAGCAAAAAAAGGTGAGGGGCACAAGAAGCAAGAATCCACACACTACTTTTTGCTTCAATCATTAAAAATCAGCTGAGTCTTTACAGCTTGATTATTTTTTAAAAATCTTTCTCATATGCACCTTATTTCAAAAAATGAAGTTATATAAATTTTGCAATTTAGTTAGATACGCATGATTAGCTCAGTATGAACTTGCTTTGATTAGTACTTTTAAAGACTTCTAAAAGCATTTTATTGTGACTATTTTTCTTTGCAGTTAATGCTGAAATATAAGGATAAGAAATGGTACCAATTCTAAACTTCTAAAGAAGCTGTTGACTGCTTTGAGAAACCATTATTCAGGGAAACCAAATTTATTCCCAGCATCACTATTCAACTTGCTAGAAGCCAGTTTCTTCTACAAAATGTTCCATTACAGTCCATCTGAAGTTATCATAAGGGAAATTTATTAGAGACACCGTATAACCCAAAGGCTGGAAACCTGGTTAAAATCCCAAGACATGGCTGAATTTGCCTTTTCCCAGCGTGGAATGGAGCTATCATCTTGGCATGTCATTTGCTAAGGATTACATTTAGGAACTACGGGGAGTCCTGCTGATTTGAAAAAATCCTGTACAAACAAAAGCATTAATGCACTTAATGAAAAAAAATCTTTGCATGATAAATTAACATCTTAAGAGGAAAAGAAAAAAAAAACAAGCATGTTGTGACAGAAGAAAAAAAGATTTATGGTAAACTATTTTTATAAATTGGGCCACACCTGACAATTTAAAAAATCTGCATTAGAAGATATCAGTGTATTTCAAGTACATTTGCCATACCCAACCGAAAAAGAAAAGAAAACCAGAATTTTCTTCTCATCTATAATTTTCATTATACTATGACATTATTGAATTCTTATGGCAACAGTCTGATTAATGTTTCTCTCTCCATAATATTTTACATCATCATGGTTATCAGTCATAATTATTACCAGTATATTAAATCATTCCTACCACAATTATTTCCATTTCTATCATCTGCAGAACAAGTTGCTATTTTCAGTCATAAACCAGGTAGGGCTCGGTCACCTCAAAGCATTTTTTCAGTCTGGCTCGTGCTCTGTAGGGGAGTTGATGATAAGTTTGGGGAAACTAGATTATAGGAACAATGCAGTTAGCTTTGAGAACTGATTTCACACACTCTGGTTTCAGTTTCTAAAGTGATATATTTTTAAGGCTCCATTTGTATCTTTGTCTGCCAATTACACAGTATATTACTGTTCAAGCCCAGTGGGGTCTTCAATCCAAAGGTGCTCTTGCAGCCTGACACTCACAGACCAAACTGGTCATTTTCTTCAGTATGATTCAGTAAAACCTCAGTTAATGTTTTGGGAAAGGGATTCTGATTTATTTCATTTCTGACTAACAAGGGCTTTCATTAGTAAATACTTTTTGGTTCAATACTTACTATTGAAAATCTTTATAAAATTTTTGCTATCTTGGCCTTAGTCACCATCATGGACAACAGAAATACAGAGAGAGTTTAATTATACAAAAATCAATAATTTTGTCACTCACTGGGCTATAAGCCACAAACTGTCAGTAGACACCAAACACCTATTCCTTATTTAAAACTCTTTTAAAGGTGGAATAAAGAATATCCTTAATATGATAAACGTTCTCTGTCATAACTCTAACAGTGAACTACTAGAGGCTAAATGAATACATTTGCCATCATTATTTAACATGATTCTGGAAGTTAAAAGTCATAGAAAATGAATGTATGCAGATTCCAGGACCCATCCTGTAATATGTTGTTCCTTTGAAAAGAATATTTTTAAAAAATTAATGGGTCTGTCTTACTGAATTTTGATTATTCCAGGTATTACTGGATTTGCATTTGTGTTTAAGAATTCACATTTTCCTGCAGTCCAAGTTATTTTAGTAGCCCAAAATAGTATTTATTTGTGAGGGTTTTTTTAGATTTTTTTTTTATTATTAGTGGTTTTTTTTTTGAAGTGGTACTTTCTTTAAATGCTCTCAGTAATTTTGAGAAGAGCAAAGATGATAGAGTCAGAAAATGTATACCAAGAAACCATTTCTCAGAGTCCTTGGATTCTCCTAATTTCTCAAAAAAGCTTCTCCATGAATCTCACCATTCCTGAGAACAGCCTTAGAGTAACAGAACTTGGAAATACAAATATGATACATAAGATTATACAGTAAAAATATTAAACCTGAGATCAGAGTTTAGAAAACATTGGCAGCCATATTGCAGTACACTATTTGTACCATCAGTTTTAAGAACTCACTTTTCTGATTTTCTGAACAGATACTTTATCATTTCTATAGCTTAAAAAAAAACTAAAAGAGCAAAATATTATTTTAGGAACAATGAAATTCAGTCCAAAGTGGCATCAAATTCAATGACTGTCTCTGAATGCCTCAGTAAGTTTGTATTTAACTTGTTCTACATCTGGGTTTCTCAACAATGTCACTATTAATGGAAAATTCTTCGTTGTGGGACTGCCCTTTACATTGTAGGATGGTTAGCAACAACCCTGGCCTCTATCCACTAGATGCCAGTAGCAACCCCAGAATAAAATAATGTCTCCAGCCATTGCCAAAATTGCTCCCAGTTGAGAGCCACTGTTCTACATTATTTAAAGACAGATTAAATGTGACTATGTAATATATGTCTTGTATAAAATTAAATACCATACCTTAAGAAGATAAATTATTACATCCCAAATTACATGTGTGGTTCATATGCAATAAAATACTATTTTGAGAAAGCTTATATGAATCAGTGAAAAATAACAATTACAGAATATTTTAAGCATACAGAGAAAACACGAAAAAGAACAATATAGCATTTTACAGAAGTGCTTAAAACTCTGGCTCTAATGAATAGATAAAACGTTTATAATTAGCACATCAATTGGAAGTAAACAGGTGCTTCTAAATGCTTGAACGAATAAATTCTTTTAAGTCGTTTAAATATGTCTTTCAATATAATTTTTATAAACCCTTTCTTAATGTAAGGGTAACTTCATCTCCCAAACTCCTGATTAGTGGAATACAAATCAATGAGGTTTTACTGCATCAGAATTATTTTTATAATTCAAAGAGACAGCAATAACAAGAATCTAATGTGGATGTGATTTTTCTCTTTGAATATTTCCGTTCTGTTACACTGACATGTGTGCGCGCGCGCGCACGTATACACACACACACACACACACACACACACACACACCATCACAACCACCACCACAACCTTATCATCATCATCTTTGGAAAATGAGTACTGTTGATCCATGTAATTCTTTACACCTCTATTCTCTACTATTTAAATGTCTTGCCTCTATCTTGGAACACAAAAAAATACTCCTAGTAACTTGGACAATGATAGAAAAAATGACTGAGCCTTAGTAGTCATCAAAATTACATTATATCTGCTATGGGGGCATCAGAAGATAAAGTTTGAAAACCACAGCCTCTTAAGTTGACCTCATCTCCTTATGAATCCTTCAGGAGATAAGCCCTTCTTACTGTCCCACAAGAAAATGGGTCTTTGTGTTCTATTCACCAATAAGAAGCTATAAGTGTTTGTTTTCCTGGTTTTAATAATGTGAGCAATAACCCCTACCATGAAATCATCCATTAACCTTGTTGTATGGAGGGGAGGATGATTGATTTGTCATTTAATCCCCTACAAAAGCAGGACTACTGACTTTCCTTCTTATACTTGAGACTCAGACTCAGTGCCCCAATCACCATTGGGGTCATTATCTAACTTTGGAAGAATAGTGACAGAACTGAGGGAGATGTTTTCTTATACTTTAGTCACAAAGACAATTTGTCAAACCTTTTATATAGCCTTGGAGTGATTCTCAAGTTAAATCAGAATCCAGTTTTCTATTCCTCAAAGATCTTAAAGGATTATAAGAGGAAAAGGTTTACTGTTGGAGTCCCTTTTTATGTGACCCATGTGTCAAATATTAAATGTACCATCAATCTGTTATTTGTATTAAGGGATTACCAGGACTTTGAGAAAGAAAAAATAGATTATGCCCAAGGCTGGTTGAAGAAGATGAAGATGAGCTCTTTGAAATAGTTATAAAACGTTTGGCAGAAGGGAAAAATGAAGCAGGTCTAGAAAAGTAAGCTAAACATACTCTCCTTGGTTTAGGATCATTGGGACAACCCACCAGTATATATGTGTGTGATTAAGTCTGGCCCAATGGAAAGACATTAGAACTTGAACACTTTCAGAGACGGCAATGCCGAAAGGAGTCAGACACTTCTATCAGGACTTGCTGTGATTCAGGAGAAAAGTGGTAGCCTTCACAGCTTCCTCACCTATGTCCTCTATTACACCAACCCCATTACTGACTACATACTACTTCACATACACACTGATCCAGGTGCCAGAAACACTCTGGTAAGTCATGCATTCTGGATGGCTCATTCCAGGGAGTGTAGTGGTTGTGTAGCAAGTTTAGTGTACATATTTGCATACAAAATAGCCCTAAAAGGACAAAATACAGAATACTTGGGAAAGTGAGAGGAAGTGCCAGTTTGGTACAAGAGGGTTGGGGTGGGGAGGGACATGGGAGCCAGAGTTAAGTGGAAGAAATTTTGATGAGAAACCAGAGGCACAGATGGCTGCTTTTATTTATGTATTCACATAGGGAACTGAGTCTCAACCTTGGCTGTACAACAGAATCACCTAAGGAGCTTTTAAAATTCCCAGTTATATCAAAATCTCTCAGAGTGGGAACCAAACATGTGTAATTTTGAAAGCCCTCAACATGGTTCCAATGTTAGCCAACGTTGACAAACACAGCTTTACGGCCGATTAAGGAAGAAACATTTGCCTACCTTGGCTGGTATCCAAGCCCCACTTCTGATGGGTCAGGGAAGACAACATGTAAGAGATATAGTGTTGTCTGGATTGATAATTATTGTGTTGAAACCCAAAACAAATGTTCCGTGCAAATTTCTGACCAGGGAAGGCCCCATTAATTTTAAATAAGTCTGTCTTTGTGATTTTCTCCCATGTGACTTGGCCATTAATTATTCCAATTCAAACATCTAGGTTTTGATTGTCTTATAGATGTGACATCACAAGACACCAGAAGAAAAATAAGAAATTCAACAGTATGTAAAGCTAAGTGGAAACTAATTCTTAGTAATAGGATAGTGGAAATTAAAACAATCATTTACTAAATCAGGTCCAAATTTATTATTCATTCTTCATTTGGAGGAGACATAGGTACTAGGTACCTTTTCTGCATAGTTGGACAAGATC